TGCAATTTTATCAATTCTTTTTTCACTGAAATCTTTTGTAAATAAAATTTTGTAAACAATTTTTGAAAAAAAAAAAAAAAAAACAAATAAAAAAATTTACACATCCTCCTGCATACTGTATAAAAGCACCAAATAAAGACAAAACACTTGCAAGAAAAAGTTGTATATCTTTTGATATTGATGGCTCCGTAAATGGTACGCACATGCTGCAGAAGAAAAAAAAAAAATAAATTGAAAATTAAAATAATCTAAATAAATTGATAGCAAAAAAAAAAAATAACCGAGAAAGGATCGATCAAAGATTTGAAAAAATCAAAAAGAAAAAGGAAAGAAAAGATTAGGGATTGAATTGAAAAAATTTTAATAAAAAAAACTCACTTAAAAACCTTTCCTAATTCTGCCCTACCATCTGCGGTATATGTTTTTTCAATCAGTGCTTTCATACCCAATCGAATAGTTTCAGCGCACGGTGCATTCTCCTCCTTCAATACATATTCCAAATTTTTGGTATGATCTGAAATTTCCTTTTTTTCCAAAAAAAAAAAAGTTCTATTTTATTTTTTTAGCTAGATTAATATTTCTTTTCTTTTTTGCACCTTAACAAGACAAAATTAATCTCATCTAAACAATTAATATTTTATACTTTCTAAATTCTAAAACTTCAAAAAAAAAAAAAAAAAAAAAACAGGATTAGATCGTAATTTTTTTTTTTTTTTGAATCTATTTAATTTTACCATAATAATCGACTTCAGCTTGAACCACACCAGATGATACAATTGCTGCAATAGTAAGATCTTCGTTCATTTCACGAAACCATGCTGCAAGTGCACCTGAAATTCATATACAAAAAATTAATTCAAAGAAAAAAGTACTCAAATTTTTTGATCTGTTTAAAAATTTGATTAAAAACTTGATAAAAGTTAATACGAAACATATTTTATAATTTTACCATTTATTTCATTTCATATTGTTAAAAAACTGAAAAATAAAAACCAACTAACTTACCAGAATAGGAATCACCAAATAGTATCCAACGTGGTTTTTCTATTCCGAGAAAAACACTTCGTTCATATGAACAATAAAATTTTTATATCAGCTAATGCTTGATTTATTGTTAAGTATTTATAGCTTTTGATTGAGAGATCTCTGAAATTTCATATTTCAATTTTAGGATAATCTAAAATGTAACGAAAATTATTGCTCCTCCTTGCATATATGTTAGCTTTTTACTGTAAAAATTAATTACTGACATAGTAATTAGTAAATTTTATGAATTACTTACTCAAATGGTTGACTTGCTCCAAAAAAACGATGTTCTAAACAAAAACATGCAGCGCCATATTTCTTAGCCAATATCAGCAATGGATTCATTGCATAACCAATCTTTGATCCAGTAATTCTATCCTCACCACCAAGATTTAAAAATGCCAAACCAGAATTATTGTAAAATTCCAAATTAGACATATAACGCTGTAATTATTTGAGCTTTAAAAAATATTACATTAAGATTTAAAATTGGAATAGAATAAATTTAAAATTATTGATAAAGCAATGAAAAAATTCATCATTTTAAATTATGATATTGATTAATTTGGAAGTTATTAAAGAAAATGATTTAATAATTTGCAAATATTCTAGATTATAATTTATATTTTTTTTTTAAAAAAAAAAAAAAGTGAAAAAAGAAACTTGTTTGAATTCTCGCTTATCATCCGGATTAAAATTATCAATTCGTTGTAATACCCAATCAGTTTTTATTTCCTGATAAATATTTTTAAATGCTTCTGATTGCATTTGCATGATATTATTTGCTATTGTTGAATTTTTATTCATTGAATTATTCAATAAAATTGAATAATTTTGTGACATCGAAATATTATCCATTCCCATTTGATCAAAACAATCATATTCTATGGTCGGCAAATGATGCAACGATGATTTCCGAACTTTCGTACCAAATATGTTAGTATTGTTGCAAGATAATAGCAGAAGTAATAATGAAAAATCTTTTTGGTTATTTCATTTAAAATCATCATTTTCTCCTAAATTTAAATTATATTGCTAAATATGCCTGATAATTATCAGATATTATCATTATGATAAAATATTTCCTTCAGTTTGTGACATTCTTTGAAACAAATTGCGCTATTATAAGAGAATTGCAATAATTTCTAATTCATTTTGACTAGAAGAAATTAATTTAAAAATAGACTGAAAACCTGGAAATAATAAATAGTTTCTAAGCTACTTAATTGTTAAATTCGAAAAATATTGGTTTGATTTTTTAACACGTTTTTCTTTTTACAAGTTTTGAGTAATTTTTTTCCCTTGATTAAATCTTGGCATTGCTATTCACACAAATAATTTATAACTCCTTGCTAAAATTCCAAATACATTAGAAATGATGAAATGATATTTGAAGTTAAACAAAATAATAACTCATAAACATTAATTATAGCATAACAAAATTCAATGTATAAAGAATAAGCAAGTGAAAAAAAAAAAGTGATTAAAATAAAAATCATGCAAAACAAATCTAAAAATGCATGCAGTAAAAAAAGAAATGAATATAAGTAACTTAGGATGCAATTAGCAAAAACAAAATTAATTCAGGAAAAGCGTGCATTAAATAGAAATAAAATCAAAAAATATAGAAAATTTTATGAAAAACTGTTCATAAATAAAAATATAATATAATTTGCAGTCTGCAAATACTGTTCAATGTGCAAATGCATTAAATTCAATAAAACTAAAACTATCAATCTGCAAGAAATAAAAAGAAAACTAAATTAAATCAGACCACCTAGTAGTTAAAAGCAAAAAATTTCATCCAAATAATTTGGTGACCAAAAAACTACTGTCAATCAACATGAAAGAAAAAAATTTATGTGCATAATTACAACAGTGATTCTTGACCTCCACGCAAAAGTAGAAAGAATAATAATAATCACAAAAAAGGATAATAATAAAAAAGCACTCTAAAAAAAATTAGTTAAAGAAAAAAACTAATAAAATCCAGAAAGAATTATTAACGGCATAAGTGAAACATGACAATATGATAGTGATAAAAAATATTTTATAAAAACGATAAGTAACATAAACAAAAAAAAAAATGCAAGAATTAATAAAACAACAAGCCAAGCATTAATAATGCCATTAAATCCTTTTATTTTTTTTTTAATTTTATTTATTCTTTTTTTAATTTTTTTCGTTTTTTTGATTTTTTAATTTTTGGTTTTATTTTTTGTTTATTTATTTTCTTTTTTCATTTTTTGTTTTTTTTTCTTTATATTTTCTATTTTTTTATTTTTTTTTTACTTTTTTCCTTTTTTTTTTTACTTTCGACATATTAATAAACAAATCAAACATGAAAAAAGTAGAATTACATAATTAAAAATAAAAATCACAATGAAATAAAGAAATTTAAAGAGCCAAATTCGAATTTAATGCATCAAGGATCAAAAGCTATGTGCAAGAGAAGCGCAATTTTTTCGAAATTACAAATGGCTGAAAACTGAATTCGAAAAAATCTCACTAAATAGAAGGACGACAATCAAATTTTTCATTGTGATTTTTAGTTACCAAATAAGAACAAAAACTTAACATAAAATTTGATATTACATTGCTTTCTGAAAGCTTTGCAACGTGTAACTGTAAGTTATTGTCGAAAAAGTGTGGGTGTTAATTTCAAATGTTAAAATATCAATAAAATGTTTCTCAAAATTTTTTAACTTTAAGCAAGTCGACGAGACGAAATTTCGCATATTTAAGTTCTAATGCTTTTGAAATTTTCAGTTCGTAACATTTTCAACTAATTTGGACAACGAATTCGATAAAAATATGAATCAAAATTCAGTTGATATCATTTCCAACTAATTTTCACAACGAATTTGAGAAAAATACGAATTGCAGTTAAATTTTCAATAAACCATAATAACATTTTGATGTTTTTCAGCATGTTCCATGAGGTAATACTTTCAGTCCATATATTTTCTTCACAATGTTATAAATAACTTGAATTTTTAATTTTAAATGGTAAGGAAATGATGAAGTAAAAAATTTTTTAATCTTCAGGAGATAAATCGACGAAATCAAACATATTTCTGAAACAAAAATGAATTTGCTTGTTAATTTTAGCTTTTTCCGCTTTAAAATTATTGGTTACAATCTTTTTCAGTCATTTTCGATGGTATATTTGGTAAATTTAAGGTCTTTTAATGATTTTTAATTGAATTAGAAAAGAATTTTGTATTTGGCATTTTGCATGATAATCGATGTGATTTTCCAATTTCTGGCAAAGATATTTATGCTCTCTACCTGAACTGTATACCTGTTTTGGAAGGATCAAAATTGTATCTATATCAGTGAAATCGGGAAGTTCTCTCGAATATAACTACACTTTTTATCTAATCAACATTTTTCAAAAAGGAAAAATTAAAATTATTACTTATACAAATCAGGAAATGACTATTAACTTAAATTTACAGTTTACCAATGAAGAAGGTACTCAATGATGTGCTGAGATCCACTTCTAAAAAAAATACATTACAAACATTTCGACTCGACGTATTAACATAACGTTTTTACATAACGTCGAAAGGCACACCTGTACTGCACAATTGAGTGACTGAGGTTAATACAATCCTATTAATTAATATCAATTAGTGCTATTTCACAAAGGTTTAATTTTGGAAAGAAGTTATTTTCTAAAAGTGATCTTTTTCCAATCAAAGTTTAAATGTGATACTTATCAAAATTAAAATTAATTGAATAAGAATGTAAAATAACTAACAGATGATCAAATGCATAATTAAAATGAATATTAACCATTGTTACACTGTGAATTTAGGAATAATTAGAGAAGATAATCAGTATAGGATTCTTTGGTTTTATCTCAATTTAAATTTCTATTTTTAACAAAAGAGATCCAAGAAAAAAATATTGATTTGTTTACACATACGAGAGAATACATAAACACTGATTGTCTCTGTATGTATCACTCAATTAATACTTTTCACTTTCATACTCAGATGACTTGGTGTCCTGGCTATATTTGAAAAACTGCGAACTTTCATAAGTCCTTGGCCAAATAATGTGACTGAGTCGGTGGATTGTGATGGCATTAATCCAACTTTTCCATTTAAAGATGACACCGAACGCGACATCACGGTAGTTGCTGAGGAGCGACGTGCTGTCAATGATATTAAAACTGAATTATTTTACAAAATCCAAAGCAAATTTGAGATTTTACGTCAAAAAATAAACAAATGAACAAACCATTTGTGTTATCAGCACTTAAACCAGTTGGAGGTTTTCCAGCTGAAGTTGTTGAACTTCTGCGACCTGTTGAAAGAGAAGATTTGGTTGTCGTCTGAGTGCTACCTCTGCGACTTGTTAATGGTAAGGTCCTGCTGACTGAAGATGTCGCTGGTGATGCTGTTGTTGTTGTTGTTTTATGTTTTGTATCTACTGAAATTTCAAAGAAAAAAAAAATCGATATTTACCTTTAGTTAACAAATCAATAGCACAATTGAAGCTGCTGAACTTTACTTAACTTCTAGAACATATATATACTTACTCATAGCTTACTAACCAACTATTTAACCCGTAGCTTACCAATCAATCGATATTTAATCAATCAGTGGACAATAATAATAATAATAATAATAATAATAATAATAAAAACAGTAACACTTACAATATCTGTTGTTTTGTGTGGTAGCTAATGGAAGTCGTGATTTTCGTTCTTCCACAGTAGTCCTAAAGTTACGTGGCATTGGACTTGGACTACGCTGTGTGACAACAACTTGCGGTTGTGGTCGTACAATAGCCGTTTTGGAACGTTGTATATGTGTACGCCAAGGACCCTTATCTAAGTGACCATCGTTTTTGTCACTGAAAATGTTAAATTTTTAGCAGTGTACAATCAAATAAAAATAACTGGTATAGATATATAAACAAATCAGCAAATTAAAAAAGAAAGATAAATTCACAGAACGAATTTTTTTGTTAAGCGATAAACAGTCCTTCAAGCCAATTATTTAGGCCAATATTCATGATTGTCTAAGCCAATATTTATATCTGATTAATAGGCCACTATTCATATATTCAATTACAATAACATACTTAATTCTTTTTTCACTTCTCAGGCATTTCTCTGAAGCATTACTGTCTGTTCCTTCGACAGTTAATTCCTTCTGATTCCAAATCTCATTCTCCGCTTTTTGTTTCAATTCATCCGATTTATCATTCTTGTTTCGGGTTTCAGCTCGAGATAATTCACATGCATACTGGAAATCCAGTAGTTTGCATACAAATGTAAGCATTTTAGTTGGCTAAAGTTTCATAATGAGGATTAGTTTTAAAAAAAATTTTGAATATGAAAAAAAATTACAATAATTAAAAGTCTGAAAACTGTTCTCTATAAATACATACCGTTTGAATTAATTGTCGCGTTGATGAATTTTGCTCTTTGGAAAGCAAATCACGAATAATTCCTTCTACACGTAGCAATATTTCCTCATCCTGGGGCAAATACAAATTTGCTTTTATTTTTGAAAGCATATGACACAATTGCAATCTGCAAAGTATTTTGTAAAAAGATCTTTAAAACTTTTTGAAATTTTAAATTTAAAAATCTGAAAAATAGGCAAAATATATTCTAAAATAATGCCCAACATTAAAGTCGACTAGAAGAATTTAAATCTTTAAAAAACACATACTAGAGAGCTAGAGCCAATAAGGAATTCAAAAATTGATTTTAACTTCAGAACTTCAGATTTATTTACCTATTCTTACTCTATCAAATATCATGTAATTTAATGACAAAATTGATAGCGCTGCTCAAGAAACAACAAGTGAATACTAAAATTTCTAATAATTTATGCAATTTCGAAAGCCTCAAAATAATTTAAAAAAGCAGCTAAAAACTTAAAATGAATGCATTATCAGTAAGCGAAAATTCAAATAATTTAACTAAAAAAAAAAAAAAAAAAAAAAAAAATAAACAATAACCTAATACTTGCCACTTTGTCGTTTGCCATCTCCAAAATTGGAGTCAAAAAGTGCGCGTGAAAAAATTTGCGGCTAAAATTGACGATAATTTCTGGGATCATATCCAAAAATAATCGACGTCGATGACAATTCTGATGATTTGCGACTGCTGCAGTTGTTTCTTTTTAAATTTATTAACGAAATTGATCATATTTAAGACAAAATTGAATTTCCAAAAATTTTGCACACTTCGGTATTTTTTTTTATAAAATAGGATTTGAAAGAAAGTTTTTTTTTTTTTTCAAAAAATTCAAATTAATGAATCGATTTACAGTGAATAAAAAAATCAATGATAGATTGGCGATCAATTTCATTTGGATTTTCTCGCATGAATAAGAGAAGTGTAATCGAAGCAGCAACACGACATGGAATTGCACGCTAAAAATTATTAAAATTAAAAAATTATTTGAATTTCATTGATTGATTACCCGGAATACTTCAATCTCATAAACATACATATATATTCAAAGTAAAGTAAACGGAAAAACAGTGTTATCCATTTTTTTGTTTATGAACTTTTAACACACTGTTTAATTTCGAACTTATTTCCTATCAGAGTAAGTAAGAAATTTAACCCAACACTGATATTTTGATACCATCATGAAAAGTTCAACCAAACTTAGACAGACTAGAATGCAGAAAAAAGCTTTTCTAAGTGAAAAGTTAATTTTAACAGAATTTATTTTAAAAGTCATTAATTGCAGAAAAATCAATAATAACAAAATGGTAACCGTCGTTAGAACTTCTTGCTTAAGCATTGGAACAAAGGAGATAAAGAGATCCTTAACAGGGATCAAATGTCGCAGTACAGCGATATTTTGTAGATAGGAATATTGCGCCCTCCAAGAACTTGTTCTACGTATTAATCGATTACATCCTATGACAATATGATCCAACTGCAATCTGCTAATTTGCTGAAATTAAATGAAAAGGAATTGATATTATATTTTTTATACATCTCTAAATGTCGGAGATATATTTTCTCCAAATTGAAATTGAGACTAATGTTGGAATCCATGTTACTTAAATATTAATTAATCCAAAAATATAATTTTATTAATTTTTGAAAGCTTTCAAGTGAAATAAAAATTAATGGGAGTTTTCGAGTTGATCATAAAGAGGTATCGTGCAAATTCCTACACAATTATTTTGCTCAGAAACACATTTGTAAAGTGAGGGAAGAATTCGATCAAGGCTACCCATCAAATGCCCAACAACTTCGGCAGGACTTCCACGAATTAACTCGAAAAATGGTGGTAGAAGAGATGGTTCATTTGGCATCAATTTTACAACCTGAAATTAGTGAATAATTGATACAGGAATTGTCTCAATTTTCTTTTTAAAATTAATCAAATCATAGATTGCATCAAATGAATAAAAGTTTTTTCTCTTCAAATTAAACAAGATTAAAGTTAAACCTCATGAAATCCTGCAGCTGTTGCACATCGAATATCATCGTCTGGATCACAGCAAAAACCTTCCAAAATTGGTAACAAACGATCCTTGAAGAAATCTGCACCATATTTCAATACCATACACTATAAAGTTTGAGATTGGTATACAAATTGAAAAAAAAAAAAAAAAAGGAAAAGGAAAAGGAAAAGAATCTTAACAGTTTCTTTTTCTATCTTTCGTAAGGATCAGTCTTCTAACTTCCGAAATTATCAAATGCTAACTGCGCTTAAATAAGCGCAGTTGACAATATAAAAGTTAAACGAATTGAGGAAGCAACAGTGATCCGTCATTCTCAAATCTTCGCAGAAAGTGGAAGGAAATATTTCAGAGTTTTTAAAATATTACAAGTTAAAAGATGACACACATACAGGGAAATTATAAGCACACATGCGTCTCACAGATGTTTGAATATTCGATCGAGCGCTAATATCATTATCACTGGATGGAAGACATTCTGGTAGGTTAGCAATTTGAACATAGATATCCAAGAACCACTTATAGTCTCGTATTGTCAATTCATTCTGAAAAAACTTTCTAGAATTTAAAACTAAAGCGTTCGTTTTAAGACTTCTGAAATCTTCCTAAGGATCTAAATCTTCCATAGGATCTAAGTGTTTATTTATTTTTTTTAAATTTGAACACAACTTATTTTCTCTACAAATAACTTTTGTGCTATATTTTGTTAAGTAGAAAATAAAGAAATATCTTTACTTAAATTATCACTTCTCTTTCATATATAAATACCTGTAGTAAATCTATCCATTGGCCAAGATTTTTAGCTATCACATTGAGTGTTTCATCTTGAGTGCTTATTGCTTGCTCGGTGGAACGTTTCAAAAGTGGAATAATCGAACATTTGCGTTGTTCTATAAATCAGTGAGATGTAGTACACTAATTAAATAAGTAAGTCTAATTTGATGAATTCAAAGTAAGTTCATTTCCTATAATTCTGCTGAGAATGATTAAATAATATCCGCTTTCCGAGATTAAATATTAGTTTAGATATAAATTAAATTTAAATAATTTTTAAAAAATTAAAAAACCTTTTTAAGACCTCTGAACAAGAAAAAAAGATCTTTATTAGGATTTCTTCTTAATAAATGTTATTTTTTTCTTTTCTTTAAATTTGAAAAAAAAAATTTTTGTTAATTTTAAATTTGAATTTGAAATCTTTTTAAAACAAATGTTTATTCAGAAAATTATTTATTATAAACATTATTCGAGTAGTAAGATAATGCAATGAAAGAGAGAAGAAATTAACCTTTTGATAGGAATGGTATACAGAGCGCAATGGTGTTCAATGCCGCCTCACGTGTTCCAATTTCAGTGTCTTTGCACAACTGCACCAAACACGGTACTAATGCTGAACCACAATCACTTGGATTTCTTAAATAATTCATCGTTTAATTTTACTTATCACTTTGTATGTACATCTGCGCTTCATCCAAGGACAGATTGTACCTTAGAGGTACCAATAGAATTTACAATATTTTTATGAGTGATTTACATATTATGATTTCATTTAATCATTTTGAAATAAAATACAGTTTTAAAAAAAGAAGTAAATTCCCGTATTCGATTAGAAGAAGAATACCTTAATGATTCGGCGACAACCGCCAGATGTTGAGCCATAGAGCTTCGCACATTTGAATTTGGATCATTACAAAGCATTTGTACACAAGGTATAATATCACGTCGAATACTGTAAAAAATATCATATTCATAAACAAATAAAATTAAATAAATTTGTAATGTAAAATAATTTTTATTTTTCTCTCTACAATATATCTTCAAAAAACAAAAAAAAAAAGAAAGAATCGTTCTTTATTGAGAAAAGAAAATTAGAAATTTTAAAAATGAAACAAGAAAAAAATCATTTGTCACAATTTTTCAATAAACGAATGAAAAATTTATTTAAAAAAAACAACAATAAAAATAATTTGTTTTCATTTTTATTTCTTATTGAATAGTTAGGGATGAATAATGCAAATCAATTATAATTTACATTTAATTGAGCTCATTAAATAACTAATTGACATTTTAAATTTCACATTAATAAAAAATTCAACTCATTTGATGAAATTTTTTACACATACATACTAAAGTACAAAAATACAAAAAAGGAAGAAAAAAAAAAAAAAAAAAAAAAAAGGACCCACTCAAAAGAATCTAAATTTCTGCACAATTTATCGACTAATTTTGTTGCTAATACACGTCGCTGTGCTCGTTGTGATGTTTCAGCTTGTGAAATAGTCAATGGTACAACCTATAATTAAAATTAAAATATTATAATTAATTAAAAAAAAATTTTTTTAATGATAGCTAAATATAAAAAAAAAAAAAACAAAAACAAATCATTTTAATTTTAATCAAATGACTAATTATCGCTCTCTTTTTTTCATCCTTTATGTGTAATTATTATTGTTACTGTGTAACAAAGTTTACGCAGCCCTAATTCAGATTTTTATTTTAAATTTCAAAATTCATTTTATTCATTCTTCAATATTCTCAATACTACCACCACTGTTATTATCTTTATCACTATCATTGATTAATAGCATAAGCAAAAAAAAAAAAAAACGAATTCAATTACAGATAAAAGCATCAGAATGAAGATTGGTACAAAATTGTTAAGATTTATTTAAAAAAAAAAAAAAAAAATTAATAAAGAACTTAAAAGCTGCTTGAGTTGTGATACAGGTGCCTGATCGATCACTTCAACAAGCGTTTCTAACCATGCTGCAGCTGTTACTGAACAACAAAAATTAAACTATCGTTCTAAATTCAATTTAATACATTGAAAATTATTTGTGGAAATTACATTTAATATATTAAAAAGATTTGGATGATATGATGAACTATTTACTGACCTATTTCAAATTTCCTTTACTACCAATAAGTTAATTGTTGTTTTTGTGAACAAAATGATAAGGAAGAAAATTTTAAAATTTTAAAAAATATTTTATAAAATATGATATGAAATAATTATTTAATTTGATTATTTTGCAATGAGATTACATGAAGGAATAGGAATAAAGAATTAAATATGACTAAACTCATAATATTTTTCATTTTTTTTTTCAAACATAAATAAATAAAACTTGCAATTATCCTTTTGTTGTGCTGCATTCTGCAATATGTCATTGAGAATTACGTCACTAATACCTCTGAAATTTTACCTCGGCTGAATTTACTTCTTTGTTATATTGCGCAGTTTATTTTTTTTTCAAAAAAAAAAAAATAAGGTTATATTCTATTTAAATGGTGGCATTAAAACCATTATTTTTTTTTCTTCTTTTTTTTAGTAATTTTTTAAAAGAACTAAGTAATTTTTTTTTTTTAATTTTTGGATATAATCGAATTCAAAAAAAAAGTTTACGGAACATTAGCGGTAAGTTTGCTATTTCGATAAATGTTTTTGTAGGTAACAGCTGCTTCACACTGCACATCCAAATTTGAACATTCCTCAACCAACATTTCCTATATAAATATCATAAATTACTAAAAATTTGAAAAGTTAAATATTCACTACTTTTTTTTTTTTAAACTATTAACATCCAATTTCTTTCCGTTCCAGAGATTATTGAGATTTTAAGAGTTTATTTTATATAATTTTCTAAAACGATCCTTTTTTCTAGATACTAATGGAATCTTTATAATTCTATTATTTCCTCTTCCTCAACAAACGATCAACTTTTGATGATTTTTTCAAGTTTTAAATTTTGAAATTAAAATATGATATATTATCAAAAGTATAAATTTGATGATATTGCATAAAAGATAATACTTTAGAATTTTCGATATCAAATGTAGCTTTGAATAGATGATAGTTCATATATAAAAATACAAGTTTAAAGTTTGTAAAAAATTATTAATTTTTCATATATAAAAATACAAGTTTAAAATTTGTAAAAAAAAAATTATTAAAAAAAAAAAAATTATTAAAACATAATGGATATTGAAGCCAACCTGAATGGCTGGCATAACCTTCTCGACCACTTGATCTCCATCAGTTTCTAATAAATCGTTCAATGTTCGAATTATTGACAATTTCTGAATTTCTCGCCCTGTTCTTAAATTTGATTATAATGCAAATTCTAATTAAAATTTTTATACTTCATGAAATTGTTTGGATAATTTGTGCAACATTTTTGTTCATCTGTTTTTTGATGAATGGAAAAAGATTTAAAACTGATTAAACTTCAGAAAAATTAAGAAACAAAAAAAAAAAAAATAAATAAAAGGCAAAGTTCATTTATCATTTATTTTTTATTTATTTAATATTTAAATTTAAATCATTTATTTAATTAAATATTTGAAAGCATTGCTAGCGAAAATGAGAATGAAATGGAAAGGAATAGAATTTCAAAATAATTGAGAATTTAAATCGATGATCAAATATTTATGCTAAAATAAATTAAAAAGTTTTAATAAATTTTGTTTATGTGTGATGTAAAATGAAACGTTAGGTGTTGAATTACGAAAAAAAAAGAAAGTTGTAACACTTTAGAATATTGATTGCATCATCGATCGGTGATTGAAGTAATTCGTTAAAATCTGGATCATTTGCTACATTCAGCAATGATTCCCAATCAATCTTATTTTCCAATTGTTCAATTTCCTCATCTTTTCCATCTTCCGTGTTACTCATTTTGTTTAAAATTTTAATTGTATCTTAATTAGTCATCTAAATAATAAAAATATATTCAAAAAACAAACAAACAAACAAACAAACAAATTTGATATAATCGAATTTATAAGATTGCTTTGAAAATTTTACATTCATCTTTTGCATTATTTGACAGCAGCAAAAAAAGAAAAAAGATTTGTTATTAATGTAAATTTTAAATACATATGATGATATCACATTTCGAAAAATATTTTTATCAATAAAATTCAAAAACAAAGAAGTTAGCAGAATTTTAAGCTTGAATTAAAAATGTTGGTGTTATAAGCAAAATAAAAAAAAAATCTTTTTTGAAGTTTAAAAGATACAAAAGAAAAAGAAAATTAGAGAGAGTGGAAAATCAAAAAAAAAAAAAAAAATAGAAATAACCAAAATCTTTTTATAAAAAATAATTCAATGCGGCAAAAGCTTAACTAGTTTGTGATATTTGTATTTATAAGACACTGATTGAATGAATAAATGTTTCATATGTGCTATGAAGTGCAATAAAATAACATCTGTTGTTGTTTTATTGAAATGAACTAATAGGACAAAAAGGTAAAATGATAAGTGATAAGAGAGAAAGTAAAAAAGCAAGCAGCAAATAAAAGCATTTTTTTTTTTTTTTGGTTAACTAAATTAAATATGTTTGTTTCTGATGTGAGTAAACATTGTCGGCACTTCAAAATGGCTTGCTTAGCAGCGATCTTTCAAATTTTCATTTCATTTTTCTAGTTATTTGAAATGAAGAAAGAAGAGAAATTTAGCAAAAAGAAGAGATAATTGAAAAAGAAAAACGAATAATTTGTGATTAAAAAAATGAAACAAATGAAATTATCTTTTATGGAAATTAATTTTATGAATATTTAAAGACTAATATAAGAGATATCTTTTAATTGATGTCGATAAGCTTGGAATGCAATTTGAGTTAAAATAATTAATAATTTGTAATTTGAAAAAGTTTAAAAGAAAAAAAAAAGAAATTGAAAATGAATGAAAAAAAAAAACAAAGTATAGGATGAATATTTGAAGATGTGGGTCATAATAAATACAACAGCACTCGAAGAGAGACATCTGTTCGAATAATTATCGCAGCTATTCTTTGTTATTACAATTATACTACTACTGCTATTTGTGCATCGATAGATGTTGTAATGATCTTTCATGAATTATCATTATTATTTTTTTTTTTTTTAAAGATCAAAGTGATAAAGTGATAAACAAACTAAGAAATCAACAGATAATGATAATATTTGCATGGTTTAATTATCTTAAAAGAAAGAAGAAAATGCATTAATACTATGCAACAATTTTAAATTGTAACAAATATTTCTTCCAAAATGATAAATCTGATAAAATAAATGCCTGATGCTATTATTAAAATTAACTTTCATTCATTTTGCCTTGTTAGATTTGATATAACTTTTTGTAATTATTCACTATTTACTTTTCGGTACTTTTGCGCCTCTATATGATGCGCATTAGTGTGGGAGAAATTTCGATTTATAAACAGTTTGATATAAGAATAAAATTGTTACACAAATCAAATAAACTATTAATGTTAGTAATTTAGGAAATGCTAAGGGACAAAAAAATAAACAAACAAACAAACAAACAAACAACATTGTTTAGATTGACATATGTGTTTTGATTAAAGGTTAACTAATTTAAACAATAACATTTCATCGTATTTTCGCATTTTTTTAATAACTATTATTAAGGAACCATTAATGAGAGAATGATTACTTTGAATATCAAATAGCAAAGATAAAACAGAGGAAATGAGTGATAAACTTTGGTGGAAGCAACTTTTCACTTATCACTTCAAGCGAATTGCTTAGAGTGTTGTAGAAAGTGCGGTGATAAGAAGTGATAAGAAATGAGATAAAGCTGAACAAAGGAAGGATGAAGAAATCAGTGCTACTGCTGCTGTTACTGCTACTGCTACTGCTACTGCTCAATGATATGTATTCTGTTGTCTTCAGATCTCGAACTTCATTTCTTCCTCTTATCAACAAAATGATTTATGAATTAGAAATGATTACTACAACATCAAACTAAAACGATGCAAAATTTAATTTAATTTCATCTTCCAAATGAATTTTATCAAAAAATTCCATGCAATTGAGAACAAAAAAAAAAAGAAAAAAAATGCGCTAAAATTTCACAAACTGAAACTATAAGAATTATTTAAACTTCAAACATAAAACTTTCAAAATTTGCAATAATTTAAAAGATGTTATCTGAGTGATTAAATGATCTTATAAGAGTCAGCTGCAAATGTTAGCTACGCTACTTCATTATTCTTATGCGAACAATTACAGTTGAAAATTACAAACGACTATTAAACTAATTGAAATTGAAGATTTGAAAAAGTTAGAAATATGTGAATAAATGAAGAAAAAAAAACTTTAATCTTTCCTCAGCTTTTTATCATTTTTATAATTTACAATTACTAACTTAGTTGTTGGCAAAATTGATAAATGCAATCAGTTGTTTGTGTCTGTGAAAATAATCGAACTATTTCTGTATTAAAGAATATAGGAATTTGTAGACTAAAGATTTTTCTTTTCTTTTTTTTCTTCTGAGAAAAATTAATAAATCTTTCTGCTACCTCAATTAATCTATAAGTTTGTTCTGTGTATCATAGTCTAAGCAAAAGAAAAATTTCAAAATTAAAATTCATTAATAGATTATAATTTTAGTATGAAATACAATTAGCTTTTTGGAATAGCCTTTACTCTTCTTGTGTTATTTATCAATTAAAAATAAGTTCTCTTCTCATGTTATTAAATTGTAATTTATTAAATTTTGTACTAATTGATGTTAAGCTTTAAGATAATAGTAGAGACAAAATGAGATGGGTAAATCCTCAAAAAATATCAAAAGAAATTATTATTACTTTTAAAAAAAAAAAAGAAAAAAAGAAAAAATTATTACTTTCAAACAAAAAGAAAAATTGCTATTACTTTTGTTGCTGAAATATTTTTCCAATAATAGAAATTTTTTCGTTAATCATAGTACTATTCGTAGGTAATTACTCATTTTATTAACTTGAAATATTCTCTTGGAAAATAAAAGTAAAATGCTTACTTATCTTTTTAAACCTTAAATTGCTTGACAAGGAATAGCTATGACAGCTCTAAAAAGAGAAAAGTGCAGAGTGAGATCAGTGATTTCACAGCGCCTTTCACGTTAGTTTCACAGGGGAGCACTCGAAAGTAGTTAGTTACGCTTGAGTGGTTAATTACGTTTGGACGGTCAGTTGCGTTTAAGTGGTCAGTTACGTTTGAGTAGTCAGAGATGTTAAGTGTCAGTTACGTTTGAGCAATCAGTGACATTTAAGTTAATTACGTTTGAGCAGTTAGTTACGTTTAAGTGGTCAATTACGTTGAAGCAGTCAGTTACGTTTAATGGTCAATTACGTTGAAGCAGTCAGTTACGTTTAATGGTCAATTACGTTGAAGCAGTCAGTTACGTTTACTAATTGAGAAGAAGGTAGGAGTGTGTGATATAAAGTGAGAAGTGGGACTATTATCTCGTTTAGTTCTTTCAGTTTAGTTTGCAAGTCATACAGGACGTGACACGGGCAGCGTAATTGGAACCATGTGCCTATGATGGCGCAAAATCTTCGTTTTTCATTACCTTCTTTTTCCTATCTTTGTTCACTATTTACCCACTGCTGATATGTTCCTTTATATTTTGTTTTCAAAGATATTATAGACGAACTCATGTCTGAACTATAGTGGTTGTAAAAATCATAGGAACGAGTCGGACGGTGCATGCAAACGCTGAATTTGCCACCAAGTGGTATTCATTTATATTTTAAACTCTTCAGCAAACCTAAGAGAAATTCTGGTCTTAGCATTATGTGCTACTTCTGGGTAGACTACTGAATATTTGATAAGATGGGAAAGATTAATGATAGCACTGCGAAACAACATTATTTTTTTTATTGATGAATTTAACAATAAGGATTTGAGAGGTACGCATGCGTTCGCGATTCCGACTCCGGTAGGCATGCCGTTATCGAGGCGAAGCTTCCTTTCAGCAGTATTCAGTCGGAAAGACAACGATGATATTCAACATTTCCTTAACAGGTTATTGCACTGTTATTTGTTTAGAATTGTGAACATTTAATTCTCTTTTCTGATCACTCCCACGAATAAGATACCACTAATATCTAAGATATTTCATATTAACTTTGTGCAGGTGGGTTTTGATTGTTATGAAGAAAGTTGAAGAAGATGGAAATCATCCGATTATTTTATATTTCATATCTGCAATTGCAGTGAAGGTTCGATTAGTCAAGCAGCATGGTTTGAATTAGGATGTGGTAGTTCGTTGTCTACTCGGATGAAGGCAATGGAGCAATTAGAATCGGTACAATTTACTTAATTATCAGTCAGCTTATCTGGATAGTTGTTTAAAGAGGGATAAGATAGATTTAAATTAAGCTCATTTAAATTAAATCTCAAGTTCTTCAATTACTGCTGCCTTGCAAAATTCTAAGCTTTCTAGTTATAAGTAGTTGACTTAAGAGCTTAAGAACTTTTAAAGTTTTTTTACCTCCAAATTTTGTAGCAAAATCCACGACTTTGAAATGTTTAGGAAAAGGGAAAAATTGCTTAAAGCTTTATCATAGAACTTACTAGATCGTTAGAGGCAGACGACTACAAATAAGCACCGTTGAAGCTCTATATCATGAGACCAAAGATCTATACGAAGTGGATGAAGCAAGGGATTCGTTCTTAAAAACATTTATTACCCTCACTGAATATCAACTGGATCAACTTGGTTTGGCAATGCGCGACACATTTTTTTCCGTGGGTGATTTCACCTTCACTTAAATTTTGTACTTTTTAATTAATATATAAACAAACTTAACATTATGTTGATATACGAATTTTATGAGCGCTTCTAAAGGATTCATTAAAGAATTTTCAGTTAATCCGTTCCATGGGTCTCAGTGATTTATCTTTGGA